TTTGAAAGAGTGCCCTTGAAAAGTTGAGAGATTCGTACAAAAAGAAGATGGTTTGTGCCAAAATGGGGAAAATACAAGAGAGATGGACTCCATACTCAAATCTTAGTATTTTTAACATAAAAACTTGATAATAACATATCTGGAAAACATTATTTAGGATCTTCAAAAACATGCATTATAAAAGGAAATGAAGAGAAGGTTGTGTTTGTGGCTTACCTTCCAACTTTGCACAAGAAACTCTTTTCTTTCTCCCTCTTCTTCTCTAGACTTCTCTTCCTTGCTCTCCCCCCTCTTTCTAACCACAATGTGTGTGTGAGTGAGTGTGTTGTGTGTATGTTTGCAAGCTAGGGAGGGTGTGGTATATATAGGCAATTTTTGATGTAAAATGTCCTAAAAGCCCATTAGTTGGAAATGGATGGAAAGGTTAGGATTTGTTTGGATTCTAAGGAAATGGAAGGGATTTGGGAGGCTTGGTCAATGATTTAGGCAACACTAGTTAGAAAGGAACTAGTTTTAGAATTAACAACCTAGGTCTAGGGTACTAGGTTTGGGTTTCCTAGAATATTATGATGATATATATTGAAAATTGGCTCCTCTCTTCTCCCTAGGATGATGGGGTTTTTTTTTTTTTATTAAAGAAAATACATTTTTCCGGGGCGTCACAAGAGGTCCCGCTCGAGCACAACTTCCTTCGCTCGAGAAGACATGCAAAATGTGAGTGGTTGCTCTAGCGCACATTCTTTCGCTTGAGCGGTCTATAAAAGTACTAGTTGTGTGATTTTTACGCTCGACGGTCGCTCGAGTGTGAGACTCAGGTCCTCGCTCGAGCGCAACTCCTATTGCTCGAGCGATCTACAAAACATATGAACTTCTGGGAGCTTGCATTTCAAGCGAACTTCTTGTCGCTCAAGCAGAAGTGCAAGATCACAGAGTGGTCGCTCGAGCGTAGGTTCTGTCGCTCAAGCGAAGAGGTCAAATTCTGAAATTTCCAAATTCACCTCCAAGCTGCAAAACTCGAATTCAATGCATCAAAACTCATCTTTCTGGGCTAAAAACTTAAAGATATATGTATGAACTTGGAAAACATTGGGAATTCAAAATCGTTTCGCAAAATCAAAGTCCAAAAGCTTGCCAATTGTACAAATCAACACTCAAGTCTTAAAAAACATAACATGCAAGTATTTCTTGACTTCAAAGCTTTTCAAAACATGATCAACTAAGGTCAAATGGTAAGAAATGTGATGAATTCTCAACACCAAGTCAAAATAGACACATGCATGTGGAAATTCTTTAGAAACAAACTCAAAATGCTATTATATATGCATGCATGCATGAATAGCTTAATTTTTCTTCATTTCTAGCTTAGTTCTTCCATTATTCAACTTAATTCTCTAGAGCTCATGTCCTACACATCATAATTGTACAATCTAAAAGTTGAATTCTTACCTAGGCTTGTCAATGATGCTCTAGATGATCAATTGTTGGAAATTCCAAGCCAAAATCTCTAAGTTCTCTAGCAATCCTCTTAATTTGAACTCAAACTCCACTTCTCTCTCTCTTCCACGTTTGGTGTGTACAAAGATAATCAAAAATGACTTCTAAAGGCTATTTTGGCCTTGTATAGGCTTTGATTAAGGAATTCATTAATTAAGCTTAATTGAGCATTAATTATTCTAATTATTTCGCTCCAAATCGAATTTCAATTGAACCTACCACAATGTTCTAGAAATTCCAACTAACACATATACCAAGTCGATTTTGTGATCAGATGTCGATAAGACCTTCAATTCGCAGAACAAATCAGAAATAGAAATAGATATTCCTATCGCAGACGAATATAAACACAAATAATGCAATGCACATGTACTTAACTCAGGGTTTCACCTTAATCACTTATTAGGCATAATTAATCATGGTTAATCAGCTAATCACAGGTCAGGGTTGTTACACACACATTGTGATAGTCAATCAGCAATAGGTACAGTACAAAGTCATATGTATAACCGTAAGTCATGATACATTCGTCGCAGACATAACACCGTGAGACAACTACTTTCTAATGGAATTATTTCTATTGAATATGTGAACTCTAAAAACAACATAGTGGATCTCCTAACCAAATGGTTAACAAGAGAGTTAGTTGAGAATTCATCGAAGAGAATGGGACTTAAACCTATTTAATAAGAGTTATCACAACGGCAACCCAACCTAGTTGACTGGAGATCCCAAGATCTAGGTTCAAAAGGACAATTGAGTTGTATATGACTCATAAGGATCATTGGGGAGTCGACCTCCTACCCACTTTTATGATGAAATATTGATGTCTGCAATGTGTTAGGATAAGCAATGCTTTTAATGATTCTTATATCTAAGAATACCTAGTGAAGTGTGACAAGATTCTTTTTATAAGAATCACCTATATGAGTGTGAACTAGGCTGGTTCTATGAGTTTTGTAAAGGCTACAATTCTCTAGAACACTCATGAAGTAAATGAACACAATCGTGAGAACCAAACTATGTCTGAAAATATGCTATGTGAATTATATTGTCTTGGTTTATACAAATGGTTGAACAGTTCAAGACATGATGTTTATTGATTAGCTAGTAAATCCGATAGTATCTCATAAAGGAAGGTTCAAAGCCAAAAGCTACCTATCCTTTGTAGAATATCTCTTATTTATGTACTCTCTTTAGAAACATCATGTTGTTGCATTTTCTCTCCGTCAATTCTATTCATGTGAAGGATTGTTAGAATTTTGATTTTATAAGCTTATTTTGGGCCATCTTTGAACCCAAAATTAAGTAGGGCCCACATGTCATTTGAGGTAGGTCCAAGTGGTGACATATTCTTTACTGCATGGCACGTTACATGGTGAAGATGGATCGTCAAAATTGTTTTTGAGTGAATAGGAAGTTGACATCGTTTTCAGTTTCGTGAAATAGGAAGTTGAAGAGTCCAATGTGGGTTACTTTGTTTCGGGTGTCCCACATAGAAACAATAAGAGAGCTTATATGAGTATATAAGCTTTAGGTTGATATACTTGTGATGGGCCCTAAGGGGCACCCCAAGTTTTGGGAGGAGGGGAGTTATTGACAAAGTGTGTTTGACCCAAATCTACCACACGCACGTGGCCACCGTCCGTTCGACCGAGCCGGGTGTGTGGTGTGGATTGTGGATCGGGTCGGGTTCTAACTTTATTTTTTAGACAAAATCTGTTTGAATTTTTTCAAAAATTCTTGTGAGAAATTTGAAATCCTAATGGCTAAATTCAAAATTTGCGCCAAAAGCTCGTCCACCTCACCGCCAAGCTTTTTGATTCAATAGATCGGGTTGTGCTAACATGTTTGTGTGTGTTCTTTTTATCCTTGCAGGGTTGTGATGTTGCTGCATGCAGGTTTCTAATTGAGGGGCAGTTGCTGGTGGCAATCTTGGCTATTAAAGTTGTTGAATTGTTTTTATTTTGCCCGTGTCTAATTGGTTGCTTTTAGTTCCTTAAGTTTGTGGTGTATGTTGTGTCTGTTCTGTTGCTAACTAATGTTGCTGACTATGCTATTTGTGTTCATGTTAATGCAAGTTAATCTTTTCTCAAAAAAAAATAAATAAATAAATAGATAAAGAACGAAGGCTTCATTTGGAATGTCTATTTGGACCTTAAATAGTTACAAAAAGATAAAATAAATTAAAAAGCTAATAAATGTCACATTCAAATTATAATCATTTCACTTTTTCTCTCACAAAAATCAAAAATATCAAAAAAAATCCAACTCAAACGAACTTTTTAGCCCAAGACTAAAATAACTAAAAAATCAAAAAATTAACTCACTTCATAAACAAAGGTAGTAAAGTAAATTCAATAAGGCATTACATAGTGCTATTTGGCAAAGGGGTGAAAGTAATATTTCAGAATAATAGAGGGGGTGTCAATGTAATTTACATAAACATATTAATAAAAATGAAATGAAAATTAATTTGGCATACTCCACTTTAAGGGTGCCTCTATTTATACACAACCTTTCATCTCAAGGTACACTATTAATTGATTTATTTTTTATTACAATATTAATCTTATGTAAAATTACCACGGAGGACAAAAGGTTATGATACACACCTTTTGTAAAATTACCATAAAAGATAATAATGAATACACACCAAGAATTATGTTCTCCATTTATCTTCTTTTTTTGCTTCTTTGCTTCATTCATGCAATTGAGGATTCTAATTCTAGAGGACTTGAGAAGCAGAACAGCCAACACACCCTTGATATATAAATTTCAATATGTCCATTCTTTAGGGAGAACCGTCTCGTGATGGTTCACTGCTGGACCACTGGTTCGGAGCCGTGACTGTTGCTTCGGTTGCAAATGAATGTCACTGCTACTTGGTGCCATTACCACGTCCGCAATCATTTAGTTCAACCGTCTACCTGCAAATATAATTATGTATGTTGGGCAGTCTGCTTACGAATAGTTTAGTTATGTTCGACACTAAAATGTCGAACAAATTTACATTGTTCGAAAAAACAATCCGGACAAATGATTAATGTTCGAAAGTACAGTGTCAAATGAAAAAAATGAAACTTCAAATACACCGCTCATGACAATGGAAAAACGTACATAAAATCCTAAAATCTAAACTAAATGAAAATTCTCACCTACTTTATCTCTAATGTAAAGTTTCCAACTGTGATAACAACAACAAACACCACTGGCGACATCTTTGATGAAACGAATGTTGAAGGAGAATAGGTCTTCACCACTGGTTTAGACTGACAATGAAACAAAGAATGGAGGAGATGGAAGATCGTGAGTGAGTAGGGTGTGTGAGAGTAAAGATGGAAGACTATGGATGGGATGTGTGAGTAAGAATAAAGATAGAAGATTGTGGTGTGTATTGTGCAAATGTTTTATTTATCAAATTATTAAATGTGTGTTGAATAGTGGTATGCCTTGAGAAGAAATGTGATGTGCAAATAGAGGCACCCCCACTTCAATGTCTAAAGTGAAAAATGAAACATAATACTATCATGCAATGAATTGCACATTGGAATATACAATAATAAAGTTTTGAGCCTAGCTCAAGCTTGAAATTCAATCAAGCTAGACCATTGCAAGGTTCATCCAACTCTGTTCCCTGAACAATTAAAAATTAAGACAAGAAGGTTGCTTCTGTACAAAAATCTGAACTAGCCAACGCTCACTCAGCTACACTTCGTTAACAATATCATAAAGTTCCTCTAACTCTATATCTAGCTGAGAGGAACATTGGGACAACATGATATTCTTAAATAGAACAAAATAGTATGCTCTGTGCAGTGCAGTTGACCAGTGATTGAAATACATGCACTTGTTTGCTCTAGGTGGATCTGCTCCTTCCATGCTCAAGTCCAGGCTCCACCTCAATCCTCGGCAACAAGCCTCCGATGGAGTTTAAATACTTGTAAAACTACAACCAGAAATAACACAAACCGTTTTATATCCCAAAACATTTATGATTCCATCTCAAGGGCAAAATTAAGCAAGAATATAATCCAATGTACCTACATTTCGGTATTGGGCCATCGGTCAAAAAACAGATTCATTGAAAAATTAGCATGTAATTCAAGAGATGTAGCAAATTGGCTGAAATTTTCAAATCTGATAGTGGGAAATTTTTATCATTTGGTTCGAAGACCAGTGGCCTGCCCGGCCCGTTGGGCAGGCCCTTGATTGTTAGAAAATATAGAAAAATATGAAAAACAAAAAAAATTCAAAAAATAGGACTTAAATCTCAGCCTGTTGGCCCACTCATCAACACAACCTGAAAGCTCATCTGAACCAAGCCCGCAGGCAGGCTTGGAGGCCCAGCTGAACGTCAAACCTTATTTCCCACGGATAAAGAAATCAAAAAGGAAAATAGAGAGATGCATTGGAATTTACAGCTGGTTGAGTCAAGGATGGAAGCCTAGTTTCAATACCAAAACAGAGACATTTGCATACAAGGGGAATAATAGACAAATGTCAAGGGAAGCTCACCTCTCTCTGAATCTCTTCACATTTATGACCTAACTCTTGCCGGGTGACTGCCCCAGATTCTTTTATCGAATTAATCTTCATATTGATAGTATCAACCTAATAGACAGAAGGCATAAGAAAACTCAAAATACTGCCACTTCTGATACAAATATATATATATATATATATATATGGTGTAACATTAGAATTTAAAACAAAAAAACACTACCTCTGCAACCACAGCTGCAATCTTGGCTTGCCTTGATTCAAGATCACGCCTCATTGATTCCACTTCCAACTTCACATTATTGAGTTCCTTTGTAGCCTCCTCACACCTAAAATCTCTTTCCTTTTCTAACTGCTTTCTTATTTCATCCAATTGTTCCACTGGAATGAACATTTTCTAATTTCAGGTTTAGGATAAATTGTAAGAACATGAACTCTCCAAGTAGAGAGAGAGTACCTTTTCCTTGCCGTTCAACAAGCTTAGCCTCAAGCGACTTATCTATCATTTCTTCATCACTCTGCTTAACTTTTAGAACTTTAACATCTTTTTCGATCGTTTTGGCAGAATTCACCTGTTAAAAGTGCCAGTGCAACTTTAAATTAATCCATCTGGGTAGAAGCAATTATTTGAATGCCTGGTTGAAATGGGTCATCACAAAGAGTTGGTGCAAGGACAACCTCTGGAGGTAAACCTAATTGAATAAAATGAACATTCCAGTCTATCCCATGTAAAGAATGTTGGATCAAATAAAAACAAAGCTTCCAGGAATTTCTCAGATGGATATAAAAATATAATAAATAATATTGTTAAAAGAAGGTTAGATTTTAGGGCATAAAAAAAAAAACCATATTTTGTAACACAAATTTCATATCATGGACTTGCCAAACAAAGCAGAAATTCTAAGTAAGTTTCTAAGACAAACCCATGCAAGCACAAGGCACAAGGAGATGGCTATTATGTAAGCAAACCTGTTCTTGTATGGTCTGCATCTGAGTGAGGTTCTTGGACATTTTCTTGCAAGCCTGAAAATTTTGAAGTAAACAAAGACACCATCAATTACCTTTTCAACTAAAAATATGGTGATTCATGCACTCCAGAATGTACATACAGCATGATGTTTATTCAGATTTGATTTGTGTTTCCATTTTGGGGTTGGATGGTAAAAAGTTATTTGAGAAGCAAAACGTGCTTACAAAATTTAACCGATAATAATGCATGAAAAATTTTAATAGTTTAGCAAAAGCAAAATAAATAGATATGAAGGGGTGCAATCTTTCTGCCAATCAACAGGGATTAGGAGGGCATAGCTGTAAGGCATGAGGCGGGTTTCTTTGTAACACTTCAGGAATATGCCGGTGGAGATGTGATTCACTCCCAGTACATGTCATTAAGATGATGTCCAGATAGATGGCCATGATTGGTCAAAGTGAGAGGACAGTGTGTTTGATTGGACGGACTAGAAAATGGGGGATTAGAATCCATCGGACTTGAGTCCTGGGACTGTGAATCCCCCGGACTATTTGGTCGGATTGGATATGTATCCTGTGTTTGTTTTTTCATGGGATTAGATGTCTGGATAGGACTATTTTCAGTGAATCCAACGTTTGGTTGGACGGACTGGATAGGATGGTAAAAAGTTATTTGAGAAGCAAAACGTGCTTACAAAATTTAACCGATAATAATGCATGAAAAAGCTTAATAGTTTAGCAAAAGCAAAATAAATAGATATAAAGGGGTGCAATCTTTCTGCCAATCAACAGGGATTAGGAGGGCATAGCTGTAAGGCATGAGGCGGGTTTCTTTGTAACACTTCAGGAATATGCCGGTGGAGATGTGATTCACTCCCAGTACATGTCATTAAGATGATGTCCAGATAGATGGCCTTGATTGGTCAAAGTGAGAGGACAACGCACTTGGTGCCTTAGCTTCACACCTGGACATCAGGATATACGAGGTGCTCACTATGTACCGCCAGCTCTATCCAAGTAGAGGACTGAGCTGGCCCCCATTTCGTACATAAAAATCTGGGTTGAGCTTTGATCAGGAGTGGGTGGGGTGAGTCAAGCTTGGACAATTCCTGCCGAAAGGTGAACTGTGAGCTCCAGCGACACCAAGCTAAGCTTGCAATGGATCAGCCCTTTCATTAAGGGCTTTGATGAGTTGGAGGAAAACAACAAAACAAATGGTCAAATCTTTTATTTTCCGAAACCTATGGGTGTGGTTTTTCAGTTTAACAGCAATATCTCGATTCTCAAGGAAACAAGCTACATGATCACTTTTACAGTATCGATACTAGGACATTCTGACATGTTTTTTATAGCACTAAAATTTGTGTTGTAAAGTGCAGCATAAGAATAAAAAGAAAATAAAACAAATGAACTAGCTAGGCTAGTATGCAAAACAAATAGAATATATAGGTTCGAATCGCACTTTTGATGAAATACCTTTGTATAAACCTCAAGAATGGCAGTCTTCTCCTGAAAAGATTGCATTGCTGCCTTTTCAGCATTTTTTGCCTCAATTCGAACTGCTTTTTTCTCCTCCAAGGCCCTCTGCAAGCAAAAATGGGAAAATGAAAGAACATTCAGTGGGGAAAATAAGGAAATAAACTAAGAAGGATAAGAGAAATTATTGATGAATGTTGTCAAAGTACAGGAAATTCTCTAACCAATATCTTAACAGAAAATGCTCTGCAACTCCAATGCTCTGAAATAAAAAGGGTAACTACAAAACAAAGTAGTATATCTTGGGCTCCTTCAACGGCACCTCATACATGCACAGTAATTGCCAGAGTAATTGCCAGATGCAAGAGAAAGTAACTACTATTTAAACTTTATTTTGTCAAGCAAGTTGAAAAAAAATGATTTAGCTCATGTACCAATTAACAAAGAACAAGGGAAACAAATACAAATATATGTACCAATGTCCCTTGGTTACTGCAAGGACTACAGTTATAGTCAACATCATGTGTCATAGAGCTTTTATGCACACTGAAATCAGATTCATAGCTCACCAGCCACCACCACAACTCACAATTATCCAAGTTTCATTGATGTAGACATCTGAATATGCTAAAAAAGAACTAGCACATATTGGCCTCTGTAGCATAATGAAACCAAAAAAGTACCTGTAGCTTGTCTGGTGACTGAACAATTTTAGAGCGTAAATTGGCATTTTCTTGGACACTTTGTACCAGTACAAACTCTGCATTGGAAATCTGGGGAGAAAAACACCAATAGCAGTAAAATTTGTTGGTTCAAACATAGAAAAACAAATTTAAATGACAAATCTGTCTGGCAAAGCTACAAAGAAAGTCTATCTAAAAATACAACTTAAAAGGCAATGACTGAGCAGTCTGGTCGCAAAAAATACGGAGCTAAATTCTTCAGAAACAAGAAAGAGGTACCACATTGGATGATAATTATTGCACCTCTCCATAAATCTAAAGTTAATACAAGGTATGATGGATATAGTGACAAAACATCTATTATGTCCCCAAAAAATGTTTGAGATATAAGCAACTTAGCTGGGGAAATTTTCACACATGGTTGCTAGAATGTCAATAATTGAATCAAAAAAGGATATCTCTTTATGACGGGGAGATTTCAAAAGCTATAGATCATATTACTTCTTCTTTTTTTTTTTAAATACAAGTAAGTTTTAATAGGCACCAAAGATGGTTAACTCTTAAGCAACAAGTTGTTGGGACAAAATGGCAGCACTAAATTTTTCTACAATTCTTAAATATGGTTCTGCTAGAATGTCAATAAAAAATTTAAAAACAAAAAAGAGGACAACTCTTTAGAATGAGAAGAGTGCAAAAGATATAGATTATATTACCTTTTCACATAAGTAAATTATACTAATAGTAATAAGAAGGAAAGGTAAAGCTCATAAGCAACAATTAGTTAATGAGATTGGAGTTAGTCAACTTATTAAGTGGGGTGTGGATGCCTCTCAGACCGATGTGGGACAAATCCATTTCGGGCTCCCACATTGTCCAAGTGATTACCTTTATTATTCTCGATTCTCGAATACAAGCCAACAACAGATCCTTTTCCCCAAACATCATATCTATCATACACAGTTAAATGACTTCTTAAAGAACCAAGGCAAAATGAGGAGTGCTAACAAGTTTAAACCTAACCTTGTCATCCATTTCTTTAGCCTTCTCCTTCATTTTTCTTATTGAAGCCTTCAAGGACATCTGGTGATTGTTAAGACCCGGAATGGTCTGACGTAGTTCTTTAACTTTACTATCTACATCCTGAACAAGCGGCATCTCCCTTTCTCTTGATTCATTGTGCTCAGCAATCTCTGAATTTAGCTGCAAGGAAGATTGATAACTTTCTATAACCATCAGATAAACTAATATTTATTTTCAGTAAAGAAATTACACTCTTAGAGATACCTGTGAAATCCTGCCCTCCAACTCATGCCGTTGCTCATCAATAAGGGTCAGATCATCGACTATTGGACTCAAAAGATTCATTTTCGTTTCTCTAAGACATTAAAACAAAGAAATGATAGTTTAAAGGAAGTTCCAAATCCAAATTTTCGTTCTCATAGCTAAGAAAACAACAAATGCAAAACTTCATGATGTTCCTTTTTGTCTTAACATACAGCAATCATTCAAAGCTACTGCATGTTCGTTTGAAATAAGCAATCCTAACTAACCACAAAACCAAATATCTTTTGGAACTTGCATTTGTAAACTGAGCCTTACTGTCTCAGATACAAATCCATGATTGCAAATGGGGAATATAACATAATAAAAAGCCAATACCAAAGTAAATATAAAAAATCCAAAACATTAACAGTTTGTGAAGCCCTAAACTAAGCTGATACAGTGTCCATACTCAACGTGGTGGCTGACTCTGATACCAAATGACACAAACCCCTTAGGTAAAATTCAATCTTGAAAACAAGCTTGCAAGGGGAGGGTGCCTAAGAGGCTTAAATGCACATGGTCAAGACTTATGTTAATTGATGTGGGATCATAACAGATAGATTAGGTACGGACCTAACCTTGGCATAACTTGCACAAAGTGGTGGTCCTTATGTTCAAACCCACTACCTCAAGGTTGTCCTGAGGTTCACCATTAATGTATTTATTTTTAATTTACAACTGTTATGTTCTCAAATGTTTATTCATAGTAGAGAACTATAAATTTATCTGATGTAAATGAGTATAAATCAATAGCATAAGATGCTTAATACTAGACGAGTATGTATTCGTAAAAAAGTTAAGACGAAACAAAATAAAAACTACTCTTCTCATCTTAACTGTAATTTCTTTTTTATAAATTTAACGAACCTTTCCAATAATATCAAATTTCACATATGTATCATGTATCGTATATATATCATAAGATACATCTAACATGAGAACCATATAGTCAATACCAAAGAAGCAGGGGTCCGGAAATGGGACACATTGGTTCTAAAAAAATTGGGACATGGACATGGCAAAGACACGGCAAAAATATATATTTTCTATATATTTTCATTTGCTATCCTATGTATATAAATATAAATTTAGAAAACATAGATATAAAATGAATGGATGTCTGTGCTGGTGTATTTTTTTTTTTCTACCTTTTCCCTCTTATTTCATATATTCGTGTTCCGACCATGTCGAACACAGGCACCCATCTCGGTGCTTCTTGGGTCAATAATACATATTGATTTACTACTAAAAATAATACAAATCATAAGATACATCATCCCTATAACAACCTAATAAGAAGCAGAAACGATGGTTAATTTCAAACAAATCTAATGTACATGCAAACATATACCACACAGTATGCAACAACTCACCAAACTGACAACATTTTCTTGACAACCAAACAGAGTTAAACACAGAACAACCAAAAGTAAGCAGCAAAAAAATAAAAAAATAAAAATTTAAAAAAAGTACCTATAGATACAGAAATTGACAATGGCACTGAGGAACAACTCGGTCCTATCGGCCTCGGGCTTGATCAGATCCTTGAGAGAAAACTTCTTGGGGCAATCCACAGCAGAGAGAACCTCCTTGATCTTTCGAAACAAATTGATGGTACGAACGGAGTCGACATGGAGGTCGGGGTTGTCGAGATGAGACAAGGCGGTGAAATCGATTTGGCCGTGGTCTTCCCTGCAAAAATCAAATTGAATTAAAAACCCTAAAAATGGATATGATTCAGGAAAATTGGAGTTAGGGTTTTAGGGGTTGGGGGAGTAGTACTGGAGAGAATCGAGGTGGATTAGGATTTTGGTGTAGAGATCTAATATGAAATCGGGGTTAGGGTTCCGGAGATCGGCGTCCGAGAGGGTGGCGATCTGGGCGTCGGAGAGGAATCCGATGATCTCCGCTCGAGCTAGCCTCGGGTATTCGAACTTCGACATTATTGTTGGTTCACTGAATGAGAAAAGTGAATCCTAAATCGAGTGCATTTATATATGGGGAAACAGAGATTTTCCCGCCAAAAATGACGATGGTTTGGGCACTTTGGACCGCCCGGTTTGGTTTGGGATACAAAATTAGAAAGCAATTTGTTTAGTTTGAATTTTTTGAATTTGATTTTTTTTAAATTAAATTTTTTATTTTTGTATTTTTTTTATTTAAGTAATATCTTACTTAGACGTATTTAAAAAATAAAATATTTTAAAAAATTAATAAATATATGAATACGAAAATATAATAGATTCTCATTTTTTTTTATATATTTTTTGAATTTAGTGAATTTTTAAAAAAAATAATTTAAAAATATTATATTTTTTAAATTTATTTATATTAAGTGTATCTAAATTTTTTTTATTTTAAAAAGTTACTCAAAATATTAAAAAAAATTCAATAAAAACAAAAGAAATACAAAAAATAAAAAATTTTAATTTTTTAAAAAGTAAATTCTGAAAGGTGAAACCAATAATTTTAGGTCGGTTTGGAGGAGAAGGTTATTCGGTGGTTCTAGGGCATGCATGGGTAGGTAGTATTTTAGGAGGTTATGATTAGTTGAAGGGGTGAGCCTGAGATTTATAATTTTGTATTAAAACATGATAATTGGTGAATTTCTGGTTGTATGGAAACATAGTGCTTCTAGAGCACCTAACAATTTTTCCTATTGAAGAAGATAAGTTGGGATAAAAAAAAAAATATGTATTTTAGTAAAATCATTTAATATTCACCCAATCATCAATTCTAAATTTCAGTTACTCTCCTTAAAACATTAATGTCAAATTCATGTATACATTTATCAAAATAGACCTTTAATTAAAATGTTATGAACCAAGTCGATTAGTTTGCTAAACAAATGAATTCTACACTAATTTTTTGAACTTAGTAATAATCGCATCCTAGCTTGGCTAATAATGATTTTCATAAAGCATTAATTGATAACTCTTTCTTTTATTTTAAATTGAATGAGGACTCATAGTACGAAAAATAGTTTCATATTATTAATAAATGGTGTAAAGCATTTACAAAAACAAGGAATACTAATAAAAAATAGTAGGGATGGGCGCGAGTCGGTTGCGGCTACTGAACCTTCAATCCGTCATCCGTCCGTTAGATTGGCGGATTGGAGAAAATCAATCTGCATCCATCCGCCAATCCGGCGGATATAAATTGAGCGGATTGACGGATGGATGCGAATCGATTTAGCGGTTTAAAATTTTATAAATTTTTAATATAATTTAACTTGTGCATTTCCTCAACCAAAAAAAAAAAATATTACTGTCAATGACTTAAAAAAGTATTACAATCACTACATGCCTCATCCAAAGAAACAAAGTTTGAAACTTTAGAATATTACAATTACTGTATGCCTCATCCACATATTACAATCACAGCATGCCTCATCTACATAAAGTATTACAATCTGTGATTCTCAAAATATAAAAACAATTCAAACCACCAAAATCATGAATAGAGCAGCAGTAGAGATTGTATGCATTTATATTGTTACATCTATATCTATTTTTGAAAACAAAAACCAACCAGCATATATCATTTTTTTTATTTATTATTTTTAGAGTTAGATTTAAAAACCAAAAAATATAAATAAATAATACATTTATTTTTTTCAATTCAAAAAATATATACAAGTTGAAAACTCTTTTTCAACAGAATATATTCCATATAATATTTAAACTCTTTTTCAATTGAAAATATAAATGGAATATCTAAACAAATTGAAAACATAAAATCTTACAAATTACTAAGAGTGCTTGCAAGTTGACGCTTCAGTTGCGGCCAAAGGAATCTCAAATCCGTCATCTGTCCAAAATTAGGCGGATTGGAAAAAATCAATCCGCAACCGTCCGCTCGTCATCACGCATCCGTCCAAAATGCGGGGGATCGGTTCGGTTCGTTCGATTTAAGCAGATCGGTATATCCGCTACTCACCCCTAAAAAATAGATCATTTTAGAGATTACTTAAGATAATTTTGTCATTTGCATTTTCAAACATTTCATCTTTTAAGACCAGAGAAGCAATCGTAAGAGTCAACTATTCCAAAACATGTGCTCAAGTTTGAGATCTTGGAGACAAATTTTCATTTCATTTCAATTCATTTTATTTTTCTTTATTATCAAATGATGAGAATTAAGAAATCAGCATAATTTTATTTTATTTTTTATTTTTTGGCAACAATGGAATGCTAGCCTTTTGAAAATGATTGAGAATTTTGATTCGAGAAATACGTGAGTCACTATTTAACATATAATTGAGGTATATGTCACTTTATAAATAGTTAAGTTTCTCTCCAATTCAAGTATGAAATAGATAAGAGTCCAATTTGAGCTTCTAAATTGTGTCACGGTAGCACTTTTTATAATATAAAAATTTAAATTTCGTTAACTCTATATTGAATCTAAGTGTTTTTTTTTTCATTTAAAAAGGGTCTAATATTATTACTTGGGTCAATGAATAGATAAAATTTGAATTTTCAAATTCGTGGCACAATTTGAGAGCTTGAACCAGTCCATAATCAAACTGAAAAGAATTCAAAAAGTTATGTTTTAGTGAATATTTGAATCTTTGATACATATTGACTTTCGTTAATATAACTTCCAGTCATTCATGCAATGTTCTCTAAACCTTTTATGCTATTAGTACTAGTATGTTTGTTCTCTTCTTCTGAACGGTTAAATATAGTAACTATATATTTTATCAACAATGATTCATCCCACTAAAAACATCACCACTAATAGCTTATCCTAACATTAATGCATTAAAAAAATAAAAAAAAATAAAAAAATACAACTCCAAGACCAAAACATCACATCATTAATAACGAAACCCACTGCCACCTAATTAGTGGGAGCACTAATTAGTGCTCCCAAGCATTTTTCATATTTTATTTGTTATACATGTAAATATTATATTTATTATCATATTTAAGATTCTCTCCTCTCTCATAAGAAGTCTTGTATACATTATTACAATATTCAATATAATACAAATTTCTCTCTCTGTCTTTGATATTCTAACATGATATCAAAGTTATAAACCCCTACCCCCACCACCCCTACACACACGTGGGGGTTGGTGATTGGAGAAGAAAAAGAAAAAGAAAAAGAAAAAAAATCCTAGCCAATCATATCCCATTGGGAGTCCTGGGGGTCAGCCCCAATGAGGGTCTGGAACATTTTTGTAAGATTTAGATTTATATTTCTTTTTCACTTGCCGACAACCTTGTCTTTGTTGCCTACTAGAGTCTTCTACACATATCTATAATATTTGTGTTTATTTATTTTCTCTATCCCTCTCTTGCGGGCCAGATCTACCGTCTTCACAAGCCCATATTCAATATCTTTTCTTCCCCTCTCCTAGATTTACCCCCACCTCTTGTAAATATATCACCACACTCTTCATTTTTTTTATTACACCCATCTTGATTTTGGCTTCACTCTTCATTTGAATCCATCATTCACACCAATTTCAGCAAGCATTCTTGCTTTTGTTTTTCTATACCCTGGGCTTGTTCCTACTTAGCTATATAAATATAAAAATTATTTATTTATAATTTACTCACATGGGCTCTCCCAATTTTCATTTTTCTTTTTTTCTTTTTTTTAAGGTAGGTATGTCATAAGCTTTATATCAAAAAGATAGATATCATAATAAGGCTCATTACACGCTCAGAGGCAAAAAACTCTCTAAGAAGGCAAAACACAAGCCTAACTTCTACACTAAAATCTAACCAGTGGCGGAGGTAAGAAGGGGCCAGGGGGTCACGTGCCCCCCCTGGATTTTGGATTTTTTTTTTTTGTAAATATTAAAAAATATTTTAAATAAAAAAATTATAAAAATATTATTAGAATGAAATGTCAATGACATATTAAAAATTATGAAAACAATTATTTTGACTGAAAATAAAGAGACTACTATAAACCATATTATCTATGAAAATTTTTAAATGTAATGGTGATGTCATTATTGTTGACATGTAAGTATAAGGAATATCACTATAAAGATATGAAATTTATTAGATTGTTAGTTACATTTGACATGTGAGGTTCAATCTTTATATGTTTATTTACTATTAGTTTGTGATATCACATACTAATGATGACGTGATATTACCATTATATTAAATTTTTAATCAAATTTTGTATAAAAAAATAATTTGTCATTATATAATTTATTTTTTTTATATTGTCCATGATACACTAGGTTTTTCACCTTGCTTGGTTAGGTTTTTTAAAAAACACTTTTCAAAAAATTCTATTTTCTTATTTTCTGTGTTTTTTTTTTTGTTTTTATTGAATTTTTTTAATTTTTTTTTTTTTTACTTTTTAGACATGTCTAACATAAATATACCTAAAAAGTAAAACATCTGTGAAAAAACCTTTTAAAAATTTACTAAATACCAAAAATACAAAAAAAAAATACAAGAATTCAATACATTTTTTTGTATTTTTATGTATTTATTAATTTTTTAAAATATTTTTTCACAAATTTTTTACTTTTTAGATACATCTAAGGTACATCTAAAAAAGTAAAAAAAATGTTTAAAATTTTAAAAATATTCACTAAAAACAAAAAAACACGAAAACCAAAAAACTCAATTTTCAAATAACTTAATCTAAAAAACTCAAACCAAACACACTTAATAAGTGCCCCCTCTAATTTAATTTTCTGGCTCCGCCGCTGAATCTAACAATAACAAACTCCAAAGTTAGGCCAAGCAACAATCAACTAGGAGTCTTAAGACTTGATTTCTTAAACTTGATAGAGAGGCTAACCTCTTGAGCAAGTTTAAGATTAGCAATTCTTTCAAAGAGTTTTTTCTTGGTTTTCGCTTTTAAAGATGGGTTTGTCCATGGAACAACGAAAGTTCCATTCGAAAGGGATTGCGGAGCTCTTTTAGAACGTGAAGATCATCTAGGGGCTACACACATTTCTTTCTATTCCTTTGAAAC